ACATTGCTGTCTATGGAGGGTCAGAGAGCTCTAAGAATTAATCAAAAATATCTTAATTTGTGTTTCGAAGATGAACGGAGGTCTTACGGGTTTAGAACGACACGAGGGTGAGTAATTAATGACAGAATTTTCATTTTTGGGTGAACTAACCCTTTAATACTAATTTTGGGAGTAAGAGTTAATGTAGCCAATTTTCAAACCTCTTCTGCTGTCTAGAAGTATTTTAGCCTATATTATGGATACTAGGCTGTCATGCTCAAAAACAGAGTGCTGAATCCAGCATTTCTGGTTCAAAAGCTACTCTAAATTCATGTTAAGAAAATTGACTTTGGGGTGAAATAGAATCCTGCTTTTTATGTTGATTGAGTTACAATTAGAATATAAATACTCTAATCAGCACAGCTATGTTAATGAGGATGGTCAACACTTATTCCCATCTCAAAATCCTGAAGAAAGTATGTGAGCGATGCAACAATCTTAGGTGTAAACGAGTTAAATTAATCTTGTCAATAGATCAGAAATTAGAAGAAAAAAAAAAGATAAATGATTAAATTACAAAATGATAAAGCATTTAAATATCTTTTTTAATATTTTATGTCATGAACTTATTGCGATAATTAGGCTGTCAATTGATTAAAAAGTAAATATAATTAATTACATGATATGCCACCTAATTGCAAATTATAACTTATTGAAATATGATTAAACAGCCTATCATTGACATGAAGTCAATCCATTTTACAATTGAATTTGCAATTCAGTGTCAAATTAGGGGCCATTCTCTCATTTTGCTGCTTTTTCTCTGCTTCCATTTACAGTCTGTAAACCCCATGTCTTCACCCAGTATTTGCTTATGGCTGTTGTTTCTGTCTTGTCCAGATTGAATCTTCACAGTAATGCAGAGCTTTCTCATAAAGGACCTACAGTTGGCTTCCTGCTAGTTAATTACAGTCATCTCAAGGGAGAGCTGCCAAGAAACAGACAGCCGTCTTCTTTTTTGATGTGTAACGAAAAAATTTGTGCTTGATTTGTTTTTTAGGATTTATGCTTCCAATTTGAGCAGTAAAACCTGTCCTTGTTTGTTTTTAACCAATGCTTAATCATGAAAGACTTAAATGGTGTTTCCCAACCTTTGTTTATTTATTTATTTTTATTTTTTATTTTTCATCAAGACCAAACCAGCAATGTATTGGTGTTTAACTCTATTATTTATACGAAAAATTACTTTTGAACGTACTTTGATATATAATGAAATAATGTTTCTTATCATTTAATTATAAATAGATAAATGTTTTTGCATGTTTATCAGTTCCAGCAATTCATTTTGAGGTATTTGGACTAGTTTATTTCAGGGAATGTTTTGCAAGTGACCCATAGGACTTATTGTTGCTTTATTTGTATTGTCATCTGGTGTCTGAGTGTAACAAAATTCCGCCTGCTTCAGTTTGGGATGAGCAGTGGCAATGTGCTTTGAAAGTTTAATTTTAGGTTTTGCAGTGGGGACAGCTGGGAGGAGGGAGGGCCATGATGTTTCCTAGAGAGACAAGAGGCAGAAACTATTTTAATTCTGCTCTCAGCACACTGTCTGTTTAGATGTCAGCTCTTTCTTCATCTCCCAGGTTGAAGCACAAGTCAGAGTGGATGTAATGATCTCATGTCTCGTTCCTGTCTGCCCTGTGGATCGCAGCAGGAAAAGGACAGACAGAGGGAGAGGAAGTACAGTACACTGTGCTTATTGGGATGGCATATGAAGTTGTGATCAAATATGCACTTTATTTTGAATTAATTTTACAACAGCCCTGCTGGAAAATATATAGCTTAAGCTATTTTGGAACATCAAAGCTAGTTTGTTGCTGGTCTAAAATGGTCTGTCAGCTTTGACCAGCTTTGACCATATAGAAACCAGCATCAATGTTTCAGAAACTTTCAGATTAAAAGGATTATTCACCCCAAAAACAATATTCTGTAATCCTTTACTCACCCCTATGCTATTTCATGCTTGTATGATTGTACATGAAAAATGTTTTTGTCGTTTTTATTGTTTTTGTTTGGAACAAAAGTTCCAAAAAGGACATTAAGGTAGTTTAATAGTAATCCATACAACTCCATTGGTTTAATCAAAGTCATCTGAAGTAATAGTCATTTTGTTTGATGAGCAGAGCATTTTGGAATGGCATCAGGGTGAATAATTGATGACAGAATTTTAATTTTAGTGATCTACACCTTTATAATTGATTTGCCAGCAGGACGAGAAGTGAAATGCATAAAAAAATACAATACCTTAAAAAAAAATTGGGGGCAGTACTTTTTTTTTTTTGTGTGTTTGTTTGTTTCAAAGAAATTGATATTGATATAAATTGAAGGTCACATTAATCAAAAGTCATATTTTACAAGTACATTTCAAATACATGCTATCATTTTGAACTTTGTGTTCATCAAACAATTCCTTAAAGGGGTCATATGATGCGATTTCATTTTTTCCTTTCTCACAAAAAATAAGCAACACAACTATTTTAAACATTGATAATAATAATAAATGTTTTTCGAGCACCAAATCAGCATATTAGAAGGATTTATAAAGGATCATCCGACACGTGACCCAGAAAAACTTTAAATTTTTTATCACAAGTACATTTAAAGAATCTTTTATAAAATTGTACTTAATCTCAAATAAATCAAATCAAAATCAAATAAATTATGCTGATTACATGCAAATGATGCTTAGTCCTGTGGAGTGAATATGGTTGTTTTGGCAGCTGTGGGAAGTGCAGCCATGATACGGAGCTCTCCTGAAGGTATTCAAGGTGAAGCATCTATAATAAAGTGCTGTGTTTGCTGAGCTCTGGGCTTCGGTATGTTTTCTGCCAGATAATCAGACAAGAGCTGACAGCTTTACAGCCGCACGGTTAGACCTGAGAGAGAAGGGGCACGAGGAGCAGGCGCGGGCCTCTTCCACTTTTTAAGGTCCTATACAGCATCCATCAAACTGCATTTCATTCTCAAGGTTCACCCTGCTAGGGCAGTGACATTGTATTGTCGAGGACATCGCCTGTGTAAATCCTGTCTAGCATTCGTTTTTCACTGCTGTCAAGTTTTCCGAGACCTGTCCTCCTTGGTTGAATGGCTGTGTGAGTGATCCCTCTGCATTTGTTAGGTTTTACTGACGTTAGCTCAGTTTGGACGGACCAGCACAGAGCGAGAGAGCGTTGAGCCAGTCGAGCAGCTCATTATCCAGGCAGGCTGGCCCCACAGTGGCAGCGGCTGCGCGCCTGAAGCCGAGTCACTGAAGCACTCAGCGGTGTAATAACATCTCCAGAACTGCTCCCCGTCTGTCCCTTTCTCTCCCAGCAGTGGCTCAGAGTTCAAACTCACCTTTCAATTTTACTGGCTTTGTGGCCCGCTGAGAGTTCAGTTTGAACTTTTGAGTTGTTCGGAACAAGGCAAAGGACTCAGCAGACTTCTTAGGATTTTGAGGTCCCATTTACCAAAGTATCAGTAGTAGTAGCAGCAGCAGACTTCTCCTCTGTCTGTTTAATATACGCCAGGGCTCAACAATCATTTTTTTTCATGCTGGGCTGGTTGAATCAATCGTTCAGTTTTTTTATTTTTACTGGTCCCACCAGAAAATAAGGTCAATTTTATTTATTTTTTTAAACTAATTTTATATGGATTAGAAATAAATAGGAAAAAAAATCTATTTATTAATGAATAAAATCATATATAATTTATATATATATATATTATTTTTTTACTATTTTAGTTTACAATTCCATGTAATTTGATTCAGTGTCTTTATGCTTAACTTCAGACCATTGCATCAGTAGCAGCTTGTGATGTGGTTTTGATACAGAGGTCTGAAGTCATTTTAAATAAGTTGTATGGACCAATTTTTTTTGTGCTAAAATAGGGCATGGGATTCTACTGTGAATCTCTGTGTTGGCAAATCTATTCAGTCTTCCCCCATGGTTGGAGTTTGTCCCACTTTTTTGGGCATCTACCTTACCTAAGAAACCTGCCCTCTTTTTCTTCCCTCTTGACTTGTGTTTGCATTTCCTAACCCATATCCCAGGAATGCCATAGAGGTGGGCATATGTATCAGGGTCAACAAGGCACCTGGACAAGATGGATGTCTATGGATAAAAGGCAGTGCTGAATAATTTGCGTTTCCCGTTAAGAAAGTTACAGAACAATATTTCACATATAATCATGGCAGATTGGGGTCGACTGTGACGACTAGGATCCGGGGGTGCCTGGCTCATTTAAAAAGTGTTTCCCATCTCAGGAGTGTGGTCTAGAGAGAAATGAAGTTGAAATGGTTTCACAGTTCTGTATCTGTCGTGTATTTAAACTTTGTGAGGTCTTGTTTTATTTTTCTTCAGATCATAAGTATTCTACATTGCGGTTTGAATTTGAATGCCCAAGGCTCATAATTAACCAGTGTTAAATATAATTTTTTATTGGATTAAAAAAAATTATTTGCCTGTGAGGTAAGAAAAATGTAATGCAAAGGAAACACTACTTTATTTTTCTCACCTCACCTGCAAATCTTTTTTTTAAATCTAAAAACAAAAATACTTTATGATTGTAGAACATTTCATTTAAAAAAATACACTCTAAAAAATGCTGGGTTAAATATAACCCAGCGCTGGGTTAAAAAGGGACAAACCCTAAACTAGTACTACTGTTCAAAAGTTTGGGCTCAGTAAGATTTTTTTTTTTTTTAAGAAATTTATAATTTATTATTTTTTTCTTTTTTTTCTTTTTGCAGTGTAATCATTAAAACATGATCCTATATTCAAAATTTCCTTATCTACCTGTGGTTTGAAGAGCTCTCTCTCTCACTGGGTGTACAACATCAAATCGTGTATGAAACATTCGTGTTTGGGCCAGTGTAGCTATAAGCAATGTGTTTAATATATTATTGTGTTATAACTGTACGCATTTTCTCTCTCTCTCTCTCTCTCTCTCTCTCTCTCTCTCTCTCTTTTTCTCCTTCTCAGAAATACAGATACCAGGATGAGGATACCACGTCACCTCCAGAACACAGCTCTCCACACCTACCAGGGGATGTGCGTCCTCCTGAGCTGGTGCAGGTGTCGGAGAAGAACATCTCCCAGATTGAGAATGTACACGGCTATGTTTCCCATTCACACATCTCTCCTATGAAGGTAAAATCTCCCAGCATTCCTCTGGCTCCATGATAGATTTCTGTGCTGCATGGCATCTATTCTGTGTCTCTGTGCACTCTGTAAACATGCTTAAATGTTGTGTGTGATAGAATCTCCATCAGTGTCATGTTTACACATGTGCACAAACATACCCACAAAATCAATTACATTCACATACACTAAATTAAAGACTCGGACTACAGCTAATGATTAGTTTGCTAATTGAATCCGTTTAGTTCAGATGAGAGTGCTGACTGATGTTTTCCGTGCATAGCTCACAAACACAATCTATAATTACATTTGTTGTAGATTATTTTTATTATTGATTAGTGATTTTAGCAATAAAATAAGTCTAATGTGTCTCTGTTAGGACACATTAGTACGAAAAAGCAGATGCATTTATTAAAATGTAGAACATTGTATCTTGTATGAATATTTCGGTTCAGTGTGTTGTAGGTTGTGAAGTAGTTTCTGCCACTGGAATGTGAGAAGAAATGTTTCTAGCCTAACGTTGATTTGCTGGTTTCAAATGGTTTATGGGAAAGCTGGGAACCAGCTTAGAAATAAATAGAAAAATATATATTTATTAATGAATAAAATATTTGTTATTTCTATTACTTTTTAGTTTTTTGCTTTTTGTTTGGGAATTTTTACAGCCCATCTGTTTTTAACCAGCTAGATAATTGTATCTATTTATATAACAGTTCAGTTTATTATTTTTACTGGTCCCACCAAAAAATAAGGTTAGCATTATTTCTTAGGGGGAAAAAAGCTTTATATGGCTCAGAAAAATCTATTAATTAAATATTAAAAATATTATTATAATCCGTTGCTGTTTGGTTTGGTATTTGTATAACATTTCAGTTTATTTATTTATTTACACTGGTCCCACCACAAAACAAGGTCAGCTTTTTTATATGGCATAAAAAAATCTATTTATTAATTACTAATTATATAGTTTTATTTTTCATTTGTTTTAATTACTAAAAATCTTGCATGTATTACTTTTATTTAATTAACTTTTTGTACCCATCTGTTTTAACCAGCTAGATAACATTATCTCTTTATATATATATATCTATATATAAGACTAACAGAAAAAAATCAAGTAGCTTTAGTTTTGCAGACTTGCCAAATCAACTGAACACTAGCTTGTCCAAGTTGGAAGACCAGCTAGACCAGTTTAAACCATCTAGGATCAGCAAAAAAGCTTTGGCTGGTTTAGGCTGCTTTTTTCAGCCAGGTAGATTTTCAACTTTCACCTGTTGTGCTGTTTGGAGAATTTGAGCTTATAACAAAGTAATGTTATCTAGCTGATTTGTTGTATAAAGTTCAACATAGAGTAGCATGTAATATATCATGTCCACTGCTGAGAAAACAGGTCAGTAGCAAGCAACCCTTGAAAAATAATAGCTCTGTTCCAAATGCTAGTGCCTTGCTATCTACTTCCTACATAAGAAGCTGTTCTTAACCAAAATGAACCTCGTAAGGCATTGGTTTGAACATTTCTACTTGTACGCTTCAAACTTTCTACTGACGCATAACACATAAATAGTGCTCATGAAGTGCATGTGAAAATAGACTCCCAGCTGATTCAAAGTACAGTATGTGTTAGCACATGTTGCTAATGACACAGTACTCTAAGCACAAAACAAGCACACACAAATGGAAAATTGTAATTATATGTAACTACTATGTATTCATATAAAGGCCTAAGACGTGACTGATATTTCATCGCAGAAGCTTAATGCAAGTCGTGTGCTAAATGAGAAGATAGCAAGCGCAGACGCAAGAAAGATTCAGCAATATTATTTATTAAAAACTGGACTTCTACACAGTTAACTTTGTTTATCTGGTCATCATTAATGCATTATAGCCAGTCCACAGAGACTGTTCTGCTGTACAGTTTTCTGCAGCAGTCGGATGGAACTCTTAAAATATGGATGCACAGCGAAACATTTGTCAGAAAAAGATTATGTATAGCCTGATTATGTTTTTAGTACCTTACGTTAGCAGTCACACTAATTGTTTCAGCTGTGAATGATTCTGTTTACTGGCCAAATGAGAAACCTTTCAGGGTCAGGGTATATTTAGCCTTTTTTAAAAGAATTCTATCATGATTAGGCCTTCACCGAATCTGCACATTGTTTCGTATTTTCTCTATTGATTACAGGACACAATCTGCAGAATTTTGCAGAATGGATTTAAGTATGGTAAATTGTGTTAAACTGCTCTGGAAATACTACAAGCACATTGGTAAGACATTAAATAATATCACACAACGTTACAGTCTCCTAACCAGATGTGATGCAATAAAGCAATTAGCAATAAAAACTCTTCCATAACCTTTTTTTTTTTTTTTGGCCAGCAAGGATATTTTGTTGATCATTTTGTTTCTATTTCTGTGGCAATTTTCAAAAAATCTCAAAAACATTTTGAAATTTCATTGGTCCAAAATCTCACTCCTAACTGTTGAAAGGAAGCTGACATGATGTCCTGCGGTGTGGGACATTTTATACTCATTTTGCAGCTTTTATGACCTTATCAATTCAGAGAATATATGTTGTAATTATGATTTTAGAAATTCATTTGCCACAACGCTGGACCATTTAAAATAAAGTCATGAAGGCTTATATAAAAAGATTTATATAAATAGTGAAAAGAAAATAGAAATGGGTAGCTTGACAAATTAAAAAAATGTAAATTGATAAATAATAAAATGATCAATTTGAACCTAAAATGGACACGTTATACGTCACTCATATTAAAGATCAAATATCTGTGGATTGTCTGTCAGTGAATGATGTTGTGCAGTTTATATCCAGTATGAAGAGACAAATTGCTTCGTTGTCACTTGTCTCATCATGTCTGGTTAGGACACTGTGTTATGAATGACAGGCATTGAAATGTTGTTTTAATGGAGCTTTTTGTGCATTTCCTAGAGTGCAGGCCTATTAATGACCTAGTGTTCTCATTTGTTGACGTCTTGAACAGCTCTACCACCAAACTACTATTAATCTTCATCGTTTGTAAAAGCCAGGTGTACATTGCAGTTTTAAAACCCGTAATTCTTAGCACACCGAGAGTAGTGCTGATGTTTGAGGAGCTGTGCTGGGCTCAGATCAGTGGAGCTCCCCGCATGCCGACAGAGCAGCGCCTGACAAGCCCTGCCTGTCACCTCCTATCAGCCTCAGCTGCACAGAGCACGAGCTAGTGCTCTCTGTCCTCGCACACACACAAAAACACACTCGCTCTGTCATCACTATGAGCCTGCATTCCTCCTAAATCAGTCCATGTGCTCTAGGCTGATGGTGCTTTCTGGCTGCTGGCCCAGCTGACGCGCGCCCTCTCTTAACTCTCCCTCACAACAATATGAGCTCTGAGAATGCGTGCATCGCGCTACAAACACACATCTTTGCAATTAGTTGTATTTTTTTTTTTCAAAATGAATCATGTTACCAAAACAGACTTGGATAGTTCGATGACAGTTCTGATTGTGATTTTAAGATGACGATTCAAAACAATTTCCTTCAAATCAGACTGGCGATGTGAAGCTCAGTAGCCTTGCGCCACCGTGTGACCGTTGTTTGTAATGAAAGGCTCATTAGAAGTTTAAGTTAAATATAATTTTTTTTTATGTTAAAATACTATCCTGGCTTAGCTTAATATGCTCAGCCAGATGTATATGGTGCAAGTTTTATTTATTTTTAAATGATGTACAAAATTATACATATTTTGTAATTCTGTTTGACGATGCACAGTAAAAATATTTTTAGGTTTATTTTAAAGATTAAGTTTTTTTTTTTCTTAATTTTTTTGGTTCCCATTTAAAACAATGTCACATTTTAGCCGTAGGACCTTTAAATGTAAGTTGTGTAAAATTTCTGGCTTTAATGCAGGATATTAAATAATGTTGTCACTGTCGATCAAATTTCCCGTGAATCAGATCTCGCTTTATGCACTCTCTGCCCTGATGATGACGTGACTGCATGCTTTCCGCAGAACATGACACATGAACCACATGCCCCTGGTCAGGTTTCTATTTACAGACCGCTCTACTGGCAGTCAAGACACAGGGATGCTCTCATCCAGAGTAGCGGATTGTTTAACCTTTCGCTTCAGTGGCACACAGCCCGAGTTTACCTCCTAAAGCAAATGCAGTTTGTTTAACATCATATTGATTCGAAGTCATAGATGTTTGAGATTTTTGCCTGATTATGAGATTTCTTATGATTCCCTGTGTGCTTGGCTGGAACTGTCATCACAGATGGAGGTGACATCTTGTGGCTCCCCATGTCCCACAGTTGTAGTGTCCTGTAACTAGCCTGCATACTTGTAAAAGCCTATAATGATATCTGTGCAGAAGCACAGCAGAGCTCTGCTGTGATATTTTTATCATGACGAATAAATAGTGTTCGTCACTTCACGAGTAAGAGAAGTGGATCATGGTATATACATTACATAATTTGGAAGCACTGAGTGATAAATTGTGATTATTTTAATAGTTTTTTGTCATTAATGTAACTATCATGAATTTCTAGTTTTGAATTTGCTGAAATTTGCCTATGAATATACACCACTATTCAATAGTTTGTAGTCGGTGAGATTTTGTAATGTTTTTGAAAGAACTGTCTTATGCTCACCAAGGCTGCATTTATTTGATCAAAAACACAGGGGGGGAAATTTTAATATTGTGAAACATTATTACAATTTAATTAGAAAGCAGTTTTTTTTATGTTTTAAAATGTAATTTATTCCTATGATGGCAGCCATTATTATTAGTGTATTAGTGTAATTATTATTAGATCATTCATAAATCGTTCTAATATGTTGATTATTGGAATTGAAAACGGTTGCTGCTTATTTTTTTGTGGAAGCTCTCATACATATTTTAAGGATTATTTGAATAACACGTTCAAAAGAACAGTATTAATTTGAAATAGAAATATTTGTGACAGTGTGAAAGTCTTTACTGTCACTTTTGATCCATTTAATGCATC